TCTTTAACAAAAAATCTATTAATTTACAATTGCGGTTAAATGCTTTTACTTACGACTTCTGAATGAACGTCACATAAACGATATAAAAAGATAATTTAAATATTCTAAAAGATAAAAGTTTTTGCGTAACGCATAACTGCTGAACGCGTAGGCAAATCGCCTTTTCGCAGGCAAAATGCGAGCTGCGTAACGCTTTTTAACAAGGCCTGATAATATATATATATATATATATATATATATATATATATATATATATATATATATATATATATATATATATATATATATATATATATATATATATATATATATTACATTGACCTGTTGCCGCATTTGAAAAACAAATAGGCTATGTTAAATAAATAGCATACTGTAAATTTAATATACAGAATTTAATTTTCACTAATTTTCAGAAACATCTTTATGCTTTTATATAGGTTCATTCATATAAAGTATTTACATAAAAAATATAGCTCTATTTGTAGATTTAAAGGTGTTTAAAAAATATTATTTTGGTTTAAATTGATATTTTTAAAATGGTTTAAAACCAGGTTTAAACCTATCAACTCTGATGATACTGCAGGATTTAATATAAACCTTATAAAAAAGTAATGATGAAGCATTACCAGATGAAAAATGTTTTTGGCTAATGTCTTTCACAAACTATGGTGTTATTAGTATCAGGAATATCATTTCTTGATATCCAGTATTTTTATTATTTAATGTTTCTTGGGAGTAGAAATGTTTAAACTATATTCTATGGATTACAATTACTATTACAACTTGCTATGCAACATCTAAAATAGTAAAACTTGCAGTTCTCTTAATTTTTTACTTCTTAACTTGTAATGTAAGCTGTTAAAAAATGTTTTGATTATAAATTCCAAATTTACATTCAATATCTAAATTAATTTTATCTGAAAATATGTTAAATAAAAATTTTTCACTTAATTTTAGAAGAAATAATCTAATTTGTTTTATAAAATTAAAAAAAAAATACTCCCATAATTATTTCAAATTGTTTCCAGTTTTTTTACACCAGGCGCCTGTTGGCATGGCCTGTTATATAGTAGGCCATGAATTATTAGTTTTTTAAAGGTTTTTTGTTACATAGTTTTCTGTGAGATCTGAAACATGGTTATCTGCTACATAGCTTTATCGTTTCTCGCTTTTCTGTTACATAATTTTCTGTTACATAATTTTCTGTTAAAAATAAAAACAAAATTTATGAACTTTGAAGGACTTTGAAAGAAATTTCTTGTTTGTTTGTTTTTTCACCACATCCTTGGTAAAACTATGATAAATAGCAACATTTTTCAGGACTATCAGTATAAATGTTTGTTTTAGTAAGGGTATTTTGATATGACATCATCAGAGATGATTCATGTCCAGCTAAACACACACACACACAAGAGAGAAGATGTTTAAAACCCATGTATATTAAAGATCTATGAGTAATGCTTAACCCACGCAACCTTAAAAACAAGGATGCTACTATCAATTATTATTATACAGGGGTGGGACCGCAAAATGTGAACGTTTTTGTTTTATTATAACTATTTTCTCGTTAGATGTAGTTGTACTCTCTCACTCATCAGAAAGTGTCTAAAGAGTTGTTAAATATGAACTATTTTAAATAAGAATGTCCAACCATTGGACATTCTTATTTAAAATAGTTCATATTTAACAGAAAATTAATTATTACAATCAGAAAAGTGTTCACATTTTGCGGTCCCACCCCTGTATATGCATAAATTATAAGACATAATATATTGTTATAATAAAAACTATTAGAATTGAATTATTACTTACTAAATATATCCAGCAGATTTTAAGAAAATGGTTGCTGTCCACAAATTCACTAAAATAAAAAATGAGAAATATATTTATAAGATAAATATATAGATAAAATACTAAAAATGTGCTCAGGCCCAGTTTTCTGACGGTTTTCCAAATTGGGCACTTAGGACATCTATATATTCAAAGTACTTGGGAAAACCAATGGAATAATTTAAGCTGGCACATATATATCCCATCAGGTGGTCAATAATAACAGTTTATTAAAATATTTCTTGTAAGTATCCTTGTTTAGAACTTCAATAATTAAAGTTTTTTTATCACTATCAGTTATAATCATTCCCAAGGCAATATTTTCATTTACATAGATTAGAACTCCACTAGGATAATTATAATTTTGTTGTCATTGTTGCAGAGAAAGCAATTCATATTTATATTTCTTTAAAAAAAGTTTTTTTTTCTACAACTTTTTTTTTTACAACTTTTTTTAAACAGACTTCTTTAAAAAAATGTGCTCAAGATTTTGCTAAACCTATCAGAGTGTCAAAAATAGCAGTCTAAGAAAATGTTCAATAGTTAAAATTTCTTTACTCCTTAGGTTTATAATAATGTGGAAGATTCTTATCTATTCAAATTTTTTGCCATAATTATTCTTAAAAAACCCTAGGATAGTGAAACAAACAACCAGAAAATAAAATGTTTCTTTATTTTTATTTAAATTTAACTTTTAGTTTAAGTTTATTTAAGTTTAACTTTTAGTTATTTAAGTTTAACTTATTTAAGTTTAACTTTTAGTTTAACTAAGGGGTCGTCAATAAATGGCTTTAAGGGGAAGGGTAATGTTTTTGTGACAATTCATTCAAAACTTGTTACTAAAGAGTACTTGGCACTTATATATTCCCAGTAACCATAAAAACCTCCAGAATAATGTGAAGACAAGTGCACAGCTTTGACACCCAGCAATTTTCCCCAAATTTTTAAGCACTCAGAAAAGTACTAAAATTTCTGAAAAGTTAGCTAATTTTAAAATGCATTAGAAAATGCTTTTTTAATAAATAGAGAGAACTTTAATTTTCTCCAGTCTCCAAATCATCTTAAGTCTTGCACAACCGCTTGTAAATGAAGCAGCTGCATACACAAGGGGTTGCTGAGCAAGAGAAGATAAAGAGTTATGATACATTTTTAATAATAATTTCTAAATTTAAAAAGAATTGAAACATTGTGCTCATAATTAACTTAAACTTTTCCATAGTAAAATAACTACAATGAAATGTCAAAACTACCCAATATGTCAAAACTACCTACACAAAAAGTAAACTTATACATCTGTCAAAAAATTTACTTGTGCTCATAGAAAAGCTTTAGCAACGAAATAAAATGGTGACTTTTTAAAGTTATTTCATCATTTTTGATATTACTTTAGTAATTAAAACAATTTTAGCGGTATTTTACTTTTAAAAAAAAAAAACTGTTTATAAAAAAAATCATAATGCTAATCAATACATGAGGTATTGATTAACATTTTTTGATCAGGAGGCATCTCCTATAAAGAGAATGTTAATGTAATCTTTATGATGGAAATAATTGAGATATTTCTATGAACCCCTTGTAATATTACTAGGTTTTTTTGACAAATTGTGAGATAAAAAGGTGTGCAAGTTGTGTGATTTTGAAAGTGTGCAAGTTATGAGATGTAGAAGGTGTGCAAGTTGTGTGATATAGAACATAAGCAAATCGAAAATAGTGAAAAAACTTATAATGATATTAGTAATTATTGTAATAATTAATATTAATCTTTAATTGGTTTAAATGCCTGATGTCACAATTATATGATTATGTCATTTCCTGAATTCATAATAAAATTAAGCCATTAAAGTTTTAAATAAAAACAAGGGAACCTGCACTCTGATAACTCTTTTCTGTGACAAGTACCATTATATGATACTTACATTCAAATGGTTTAAAATGTAACGTATTGATATTCTAGTATCAGCAGTAAATGAATTTAAAAAGATATTCTAGTATCAAATTAATTTAAAAGTTACTATTACTAATATTCTGAGACTTTTATTGAATGTTTGGAAAACTGGAAAATTTAGAAATTTTATTGAATGAAAAGATGAATTTATGTATACAATAATTATAAATTAATAATTGGTAAAATTATCAGAGAATGTTTGTTGTGCACTTTTTTATTAGTGAAAATTATTCAAATATTTAACACATTTAAATTAAAATATGCCTACTTTTGTTGATTAGTTTATTTATTTATTAATATACTAACAACTTGCATTTACGTAATTAACTTCACTCATTAGTAACTACAAATTACTAATTACCAATGTGATTCTGGTCTAATAAAATTATAATTACCAATGTGATTATAATTTTATTAGACCAGATTTGAAAAGTCAAACTTAGCAGTTACTTACTTTTACAATATTTTTAAATTCCTAATTTATTTATTTAACTAACATATTTTTTGATTAGTATATTTTTTTTACATATAGAATAAATAACAACTCCTCATAAACAAACTTTTAAAATGTATAAAACAAAATAAACAAAAATATTAAAATAAATATATACCTAGTATCCAATTCAATTAGATTTTGATATGTCATACAACACACAACAATTGATATTAGCTTGATCAGAGTGTTCAAAAGTTTTTTCCAGCTAAAGACCAACTTCATTCCCACTTCACTAGTAACTTAAAAAGCCAATACAGAGTGTTAATAAATTTTTTTGAAGAACAATTTTATTTTTCATTTTATTTTATTTCACAAATAACTTTTAAAAACAAAATACAAATTTATTATTTTAAAATAAACAAAAAAAATATATAAAAATTTGATTTTTCACTATTTTAATTTCAACCCTAATAATGCAGCCAATGTTATACTCCCATTAAAGAGTTACATTTAGAAGATAAACTCTATATTATTATTTAGATAAACTTTAACTTTTATTTGAGAGTTTCTAACTTGATATTCATAAATATATCTTTACAGAATAAAAAAAAGCCAATGATACAACTGTTATTTTCTGGGCATCAGAAGGACACTCACCATTCAACCAATGCTGTAAGAAAGCTAAAGAAACTAAAATTATCCAGCACAACCTAATTCAAGATGTCTTATTACCAAATAGAACTCGACAATTTATATGCTTAAGAGGTTCTGTGAGCAGAAATTAACTATCAAATTGTATTACATTATCTGAACTTAAACAAATCCAAAGATTCATCTAAAAAATAATTGGCAACTTACTAGAATTCTGGTAAAACACCTAAAACACTTTGAAAGTGCTACAAGGACACTGTGTGTACAAAATAGGAATTTTTAATTGGCTGGATATGATTCAGGATAAGTTTTTTACACTGGTTTCTAGTAACACATAATTGCTGTTCCCACGAGAAAATATGTTTGTTTCTGGACTATGTCTGAGCAAGCTTTTAGAGCCAGAAGATAATATAAATCCTATGTATGGATGTTGAATCCATCATAGGTAATTTGAAGTATATCTGGGTTAGCTGGATATGGTTCAGGAATAGGGGTTTTTTACGCTGGTTTCTAGTAATATTTGACTCTATTGTACAGGAACATTCAATACTTATTTCAACAAATATTGTTATGTTTGTTTGTTTATTTATTTATTTTTATGTCTATATATATAAGTGTATATATGCTTGAAAAATGAAAGGAAAAGAGTGAATTAAGAATTAGGAGTGGAAGGAGTCTCCATTAGATTCTGTGGTTTTAAGTTAATACTATTTTTCTCAATTTCACCAAACCAAAAATCAGCAAGGACTTATTAACACAATGCAAAAGTTTCTTGACTATGTTTGTGACACAACAACTGAATTGTTGATGAAATTATTGTTGATGAAATCATTGTTGATGAAATCATTGTTGATGAAATCATTGTTGATAAAATCATTGTTGATGAAATCAGATTTTAAATTAGATTTGTTTTTATAAGTCATTTTCAAAAATGAAAAGATGATTTTGATCAAAAATTGCAATGAATTTTTATTTTAAGTTGAAGTTTGTTAAAGTGTTTATACTAATTCTCATTTACAACAATCGCAAAATTCTTAAAACACTGACAGAGAAAGTAAAAAAAGCACTAATCCAAAAGAAAAAGTTTAAACTATAAAAAGAAAATGGTAAGAACATTTTTATCTGAAGATTTTTATTTTATTTATAAAACAATAAATCTAATTGTATGCATCATATTATCATTTATCAATTAGAAATCTTGTCTTTATTCTATTATCTCTTTAACCTAACTATTATCTTAAAAATTTATAAGTTGAATAAGAACATTCTTTTATTACATGATTAAGGATTTAATTAATCAAAGATTAAGTATTTAAGACATTAATTTAAATATTACATTGTGATTTATATTTGGAGTCAATATCTATTATATCTTTTCAAGACTGCTAAAGTGAGCAGAGAATACAATTTGCTTTTATAGACACTAACAAATGGGAATTGGTAAAATTATCAGAGAATGTTTGTTGTGCACTTTTTTATTTGTAAAAATTATTTAAATATTTAACACATTTAAATTAAAATATGCCTACTTTTGTTGATTAGTTTATTTATTTATTAATATACTAACAACTTGCATTTACGTAATTAACTTCACTCATTAGTAACTACAAATTACTAATTACCAATGTGATTAGTAATTATATTAGTATCTTAATTTTATTTTTAATTTAGTAAATTTTAAGTTCAAATTAATGACGAACAAATTAATTTTAAACTTTTAATAAAATTTTAAAATTTTTAAGTTTAATTAAGTTAATGAAATAAACCCAATCAAGTCTCATAACCTGTGACATTATTCAATTACTAATTAGTAAGTAACAATTACTATTAAATAACTACTTAATGTTTTCTGCATAACTAAAACTTCAAAGGCCCAAATATTTGTTAACAATTTGAGCCCAAATGTTAAGTTTAAATTTAGAATGAATTAAGTTTAAATTTAAAATGTTAAGATAAAACTTAGAATATTGTGCAGAGAAACATTAATCACTTGATGTTTTGTTTTGATTCGTGATTGGAGTTTAAGGTTTGAGTTGCAAATTAAATGAAAAAAAAAATCTCCTCAACTGTAGTAAAACCCTTCTAAAGCCTTGAGGAGATGAATTTAATAAAAATAAAAAAAATTTGAGTTTAAAACTTTTTGGCCATTTAGAAATTTTATTGAATGAAAAGATGAAGAAGCCATTTTTTTTTACTTCAAGCAAAAAGGTGATAACAGTCCACAATTTTAAAACTACATAAATTAGTATTTTTTTATTTTAAATTAGTAAGTACAAAACAAATCCTTTAGCACATTTTTTTTAACTTGTTTTCCACAAAGCGGTTTTGTTTATAAAGGTTCGTGTTTGGCAGTTAAATAGTCATATAGAGAGGGTTTTAACTACAGAGAGGTTGTGACTACAAAAATAGAGAGGGTTATAACTACAAATAGTAGGCTCTTCACCTGTAGTGGCCTGTTTAGCCTTGGGAAAGAATATGACAAAAAATATATATATAATTTCAGATTTTTTCTAAATTATCAAAGATGTATAAATCATAAGGGCTCTTGAAGCTCTCACACTAAACACCATACTACTAGTTTTTTATTGGAAACCAGATGTTGCTTGTCTTTGTTAGAGTACGCCCGAAATATGCAATGTTTATGATGCCATTCAAATTAAACTTACTCTTATCTGACCAAATTATCTTATTTAGTACATTTGGATTTTGAACAAATATTGGGAATTTGATTTTAGAAAACCAATTAATTTGTCAAAACCATTACTAAGATCTACTTCTTTGTCTGCTTTTTGTACTGCATTATAATAACTGCTCTTATCAATTTCAATTTCAATAGCGCTTTCTCTAGTTGAGGAACTATTCATAAGCATTTCTTTCACAAATAAAAATATTTGAAATATTTGTTATGTATCAAGTGTAGAAGGAATTTGGTATCTAAGGAATCATGGAGTCAGGGAATTAGTGACCTGAGTAATATATATCAGATTTTTTTAACTTTTTTTTAATTTAACAAATTAACTTTATATAGATCTATTTCTCAAATGAATTAATTATCATAATTTGCAACTCTATAAAATCAAAAACACCCAGCAAACCTTACAACACCAATAACAAAAAAAAAAAAATTATGTTTGCATCAATTTAAAAAATAGTAAACCTTTTCCTCATAAATAGTTTAAAGCATTTAAATTCCACAAAAATTTGAAAACACCACTACCACCAAACACCAATTTTTAACCCTAATATTGTAGATTATAAATAAATATAAACGTTACTTAGTACGAAATTAAATAATAATTATACTTATTTAAAATCAATACAATTATTTAGCTTTTTATAGCTATTTCTAAATGTCAGGTTTGCAGAATAAGTTTTATTTTAAAATATTTTTTTTAGAGTTTTAGACTTAACTTTCAGAGAATTAAACTTAATTTATTTTCAATGTAATTTTTCAAATTAATCAACCTGACTTTAATTATTCAATTTGACTTTACTATACTTAACTATTTTCATGCTTTTTCAATATTTGAAATTATCATTTATTTACACAACAAAACTTCAGAGCAATAACTGAAGACTTGAATGCTATCAAACAATTGCTCAAATTTTGCAAAAAAAAATAATCAGCTAGATTCTTAGGTGAAAAAATATGCTGGTCTGCAAAAAAAAACTCATACCAAATCAAAATGAATGCATTAAAATTTTGCCATTAACAATAATATGCATTTGGAGGTATATACCAAAAAATAACCAACTGTAATAGCAACATGTTTGGACTGAACAAAGCTTACTTTATTACCTTGTTTATCTTTACTACATTACCTTGTTTATCTTTACCTCCTTTTACATTACATTTTTACTACATATTAAACATTTTTGAATTTAGTGTTACTACAGTAAAAGTATGGTGAAAGATCAGCCATTGAAAAGAATGAATAAAAATTAAAAAAACAAAAAAGAACCAAAAAAAGAAATCTTTATCTTTGCTTGATATTCAATAAACAGTGTATCTTGGGTGTAAAAGTAACACACTTAACTGTACACACTTAAAAAAAGGAAAATAACAGCTAATATATATTTAATTATTTTTAAATTCAGATTTTTGTAATTTTTACAGATGAGATTGTTCCTTAGCTGAACCACTACTGATGCCATGGCAAATAATATAACAACATTTGTAATTAAGTTTCTAATAAAGTAAGAATTTTAATTAAAATTTTAGTCTGAAAAAAACTGTGAACATGTAGAAAACAAATTAGTAAAACCATACATATTAAAAATTTTATGAACTGTATCTACCCCCAATTTGTGTATATTAATTTAAATATTAATTTAATTTAGCATCTGTTTGCTCTACCCCAGTTTCACTTGTTAGTTGGCTTTGTTTCACTGTTAAGAAACTTTTAATTAGATACCAGGCTTCAAATATTGTTTTACAAAATTGCATATCATTTTTTAAATTTCAAAAACCATTTATAAATAGTAAATACACAAAATGTCTTTTATAAAGAGATGTAGTCAAGACAGCAATGGTCAAGAACAATACTAAAACTGAGCCATTGGTCTTGAGCCAATCTTGATGTTGGCTCAAGTGTTAAGCCAACATCAAGATTGTTCTTGTGTTGAGCCAACATCAATGTTGGTCTTGAGCCAATCTTGATGTTGGCTCAAGACCAACATCAAGACCTAAGATTTTATTACTTTTACATTAAATAGAATAAGTAATAGCAAATATACTATAAATATAATATATTTATAGTATATTCATTATTTTTTTTAATATAATATAACTACAGAATAAGTAAATATATGAAATATTTACAACATAAATAAAACATTTAAAAAAAACAAAAAATTATTCATTTACTTTAATATTTAAGATTAAAAACCTTTGTTTATTTTTTAATAAATTTTAGAAATAAATTTTTCACCGACCCTCATATGCTTAACCGAGATGAATAAATATAAAGTAGATTAATATAAAAATAATGATTGATTTTACAGCAAAACTACAATCAAAAAAATTAATATCAAAAAATAAGCACAAAAAAATAATGAGAATTGAGAAAAAAAACTCTGGTTGCTTAATAACCAAATCCAAAAAAAGCAAAGTTTTAAAAATGAATCAAAATTACCTTCAATTGACTTTGCATGACTCAGCGTAAATAGGATGCAACATATTTGCAATACAAAAAAATTCAAAAAGAATGAAATTGATAATGGCATTGTAAAAGAATCTAAAGTAATAAAGAATAAAGCAAGTTAAGTTTGTCACTGGTAAAATGTTTATCACTACTGTAAGGTGTAGGGCAAATGTTTATTACTGGGTGTAACAATAAGTCATGAGTGTAAAATTTGTTACTGGTTGAAAGTGTTGTATTTATACAATTTATAACAATCCAAGACATCAAATTATAATGAATCGAAAAATATATAAAAATTTGAATATGTAAAAATTAATAAAATTATAAGTTTTATGTGATAAGCAAACATCAAGTATAACTTTACTGTTTGAGTCATATTCTTTCTAATGATTTGAATTACGAATATACCAAAATATAATAACATAAGAATGTAAACATAAATACAAAACTTTACAAATATTTGTGGTATTCAAAACTGTCTTGCAAAACTTACTTACTTGCTCTGAGTGAGACTAATTTAAATTTAAATGTTTCATGTTCTAATCTCATTGTTGAAAGCTATTATCTTCTGATTTACAAAGATTCAGATGGACACAAAGACACACATGCTTATTTCAATAAGCATATGTATTTTTTCATGGAATCAAACGTAAACTTAAAATTACAAGCATGGTTCAAACATAAACAATTCTGGAGATCGTTTTGACCCTCCAACAATGATCCAATCAGCCTTCTCAATATAATTAGCAAGAATTTTGTGTCTAAAACTAACTAAACTCCGAAAATTTCATTAGTCTAACAAAGTCTAACAACTTCAATTAACACATCAACTTGTTTTATAGCATGAGTAATCACCCATAATAAAGGAAAGTTTAATTGTACATTGGATAGGTGTTTAAAGTAAAAAGTCATTGCTTGTGATATATCAAAGACTTTCAATAAATATCTGATATGCTGGTTTACTTCATACGCTCTTTTTACTTAGTGTATCTAAAAAAGTTTACAAATTTATTGAACCCTTCCATTCTAATCGCAATACATAATAAACATTGTATAATAAATTATACAATGTTATAAATTTTTGCAAAATTTTTGCCCACTGTAAATTTTTTGTTTATTATTTTTCTCTGCTAATTCCAAAAATGTAAAAAAAATGTGTATTGTATTATTAACCTTTTTAACTTTTTTAGTGCCAACCGGCAAATATCATTGGATCACAAATCATTTCATAGGATGTTGTTAGTGTGCTTCTTTCGCAGCTTAGGCTTGGATGAGGAAAGAAAAGGAGTGGGTTACAAGACAGATATTAATAATTATATTGTAGAAAATGTCTTAAATAGGTACTTTAAATACGAGGATTTCTGTTTCTTTGTTATAAAATCTTTTATAAAATTTTTGCATGCTTGTTATCAAATACGCATTTAAAGTTTACAATAAAGATTGAAGATTAAAATTAAATAACCTAAGATGTTTTTGTTTTAAAAATATCTTAAGCTACTCTAAATATATATCTAATACACATTATATACATATTTGTGCCAACTAGGTAAGTTCTGTTCTTCTCATAATGGCTACTAAATGATGTCAAAATTCTCCTGATACATTTTGTTATGTATGTGTATACTATATTGGCAAAAAAACAGGTGTTATAAGATCATAAAAGTTACCATATTCATGGATAACACAAAATATTTTGGAATGCTCATGGGTGATCAATACAAACCATAGGCCCCTCATGTGATGTGCGAAACCTGTCAAACTACTCTAGGGGTAGAAAAATGTCAATGCCTTTAGCCATTCCCAGAGTCATACAGGGTTTCCACTATTAAAACTGAGGCTAAAAGTAAGGCTTCTAAGGAGATTTGAGGAGATATTTTCCTAATATTTAAAGAGATTTGGTCAAAATGACAATGAAAGAAAAAGTGAGGAGAATTAAGGAGAAAACGAATACATTAAAAACAGAATCTTATTTTTTTCAATAAATTTTAAATTTAAACAGAGAAATTATTATAAATTAATGTATTATTTTATATATATATAAATACAAATATAATAAAAATATAGGTTTGCAAACTATTAAAGAATTTTGTATTTTTTTCTTTATTAATAAGTATAATCCATTCACTTTAATAAAACTTTCTAGATAATTAAATTAAAAAAAAAAATTTAGGAGAGCAGTCAAATTTTAACTTTCATGTGAAACAGGTGCTGTAGACGATTGTATGGTTGAATATTGAGCTGCTTCTCTCGCTTAAGGTTTCCTGTACCTTGCAATAACAATCATACTAAAGTCATTGTGATGGTTCTTCGCTGTGCAAGTGCTAGGTAAAATGGTATTCAAATTGGAAATTGATGGAATATACCGGATGGTTAATTCTTTGATTGTAAAAGAAAAACTATTTGGATTTGATTTGATTTTTGGAACAAATGTGATTGAAAAATTTGGAGAAGTTGCCATTTATGATGATAAAAGCCGTACCTTACCATAATATTAGCATGTGACACAGCAAAATGTGGTGCTGTTAATATGACAAGAAAAAAAGAAAACAAAATAAACGAAATAAAATGTGGGGTCATTAATACAACAAGAAATAAAAAAAACAAGATAAACAAAATAAAATATGGCACCGTAACTATTGCTGTGCCATCGGCAATGGCCGATTGAGGCTAATGATAGGGTTTAATGTATGTATATAAAGGTAATATCTTAATATTAGTTATACAATTTGCATATATAAGGTGTGCTTATGCACCAGTTTGGTTTGGCTTAATAGACAACACCGATGCATCGGCCAATGCTGATTAATCAACCGATGTCATCGGCCAATCAATCTGAGATTAATGGTTAAGCTGATTAATTGGTTGCTGGTTACCAATAGCATAGGCTAGTAGGTCAAATCACTTTTGATGAATAGGTACATGTTAAATATGTAATTTATAATACCCTTAAAAAATACCTAATATATAATACCCTTAAATAAATACATTAAACCTATTATTAGTCACAATCGACATTTGCCATCAGTAAATCACTAGCCGTTTCTATGATAAAAATCGAAAACAAAATAAACAAAATAAAATCTGATGTCATTAATACAACAAAAAATAACGAGAATGAAATGAAACAAAACAACAGGACTTCAGAACTGGAATTAAGAGCTTGCAATTGATAATACCATTTGCGAATACAAGATTAATCAAGAGTACAAACGTAGTTACCATGAAAAAATAAGTGAATGGATCAACTCTGGCATTTATGTACCATATAATCAACTAACATTGGGACCACATAAAGTATTGATATTGCTGATGTGCGTAGTGCAAGAAAACAAAGACAAAAAGTTACATTCAGTGGGAGATTTCTGAGCTCTCAATCAATTTATAGATTGTCACACAGCAAACACGGATTGTCAAGAGATGTGGCGATTCAACATAATAAGTTATACAAATTATTTTCTGATAACTCATCACGTAATAATCTACAAAACATGCAAAAACTATGTAAAATAAGTTTTTAGTAAATAATGTATACGTGTATATGTAGAAAAAAATGCAGTAATAAGTGTAAAAATTATGTAAAATAAGTCAAAAAAATATAAATTGATGCACTTAGGGCCAACAATTGCAAAGTTCATTTTTATTTTCTACTTATGTAGATATTATGTAAAGGTTAACACCACAAACAAAATTTTTGAAATGACCAGAAGATTATTAGCAAATCTCAATATCTCTTCATTTCATACCATATTTATTTCCCTTGTTTGTCCTCACCCTGATTATTTTAGCTCTGTCTACTCTCCTAGGCATAAAAAAGATCAACAGCTAATTGAAAATGTTTTATGCAAGTCTAGTAATACAATTCTTGGCCTGTTTGGTCTCACTCATTAACAGACATTACTGAAACTAAATTTAACTTGCATGGACTTTTGTTTTTTTTTATAATGACATGGTAGAAATTTAAATGGACTTTGTAAGTATAGCTACAACTTTTTTTGTGTTCTCGTAAAATATTATTAAGTATCCCTCTCATCGACACCCGTGGTCATGTTTATAAAGTGAAAAGAATTTTTGGAAGACAGACATCCGGAAAAACTATTTTCGGAACAGCTACTATTTGAAATAGTGTGTTCATCATCTGTTGCAGGCTGTGACAGATGATGAACACACTTTTAACGCTGATGAACACACTTTAAACGCTGATAAACACACTTTGAACGCTGATGAACACACTTTGAATGCTAACACTTTTAAGCATCTAGATGTTTTTTTAACGCTGCTAGTTACAGCATTGAATAAAATTTGTGAATATATATTTTTTTAAATAAACCATCTTCCAATAATTTTTGTAACATTGTTAAATTAAATTTTTAGTGGAATTAAAAATTAAATTTTTATGAAGTACCACCAAAAAAATAAAGTTCAACATGATGAAAAAAAATTATTTAAACTTAATTACTAACTTGTAACTTACCTTGAAGACATTGCAAGGGGTTATACAGTGAAAAATTATATAAGATAACAAACAAAATCAGGGAAAATGGAAAAACAAATAGCATCCATACGCCACTAGCAAAAGATCGCCAATAAAATTCCTGAATATTGAAATAAAAAATACCAGCTTATTAACATATCAAAATCATTAACTTAGAATAAAAAATACAACAACCCACTATTATCACTTTCATTTAGAGTTATTTGTTTGTAGTTATTTGTGTGTTTTGCTCATTTCACAAAACCAACACAATGCACTAATAAATACAATTCAGTGGTTAAGCAGTGATAATTTTTTAGGGGAAAAAATTACCTTTACTTTTTTATAGATATATCAATAAAGTAATTATATATATATATATATATATATATATATATATATATATATATATATATATATATATATATATATATATATATATATATATATATACAAATAGTATTGCGTACCAAGGTAAGCAATCTGGCGCCATACTGAAATAGCCTGCTGCTGGGGGCCTTAATACATACATCGACTGACAAATAGCCTGACTCGCAGTGGAGTGCTGCTACATCGACTGAGGGTTTGGGATGGGGCAGCAATCGTTTCATTCATTATTCTTTGTTTTTTTTCTTCTTTTTCTAAAAAAGCCTTATGGGTTAAGGTAAGCAAAAAAAGTGAGTAAATGCTTATAAAAATACAATTTAGTAAGTGTGTAAATATATATATATATATATATATATATATATATATATATATATATATATATATATATATATATATATATATATATATATATATATATATATATATATAAAGAGAGAGAGAGAGAGAGAGAGAGGCTATTCTAGAAAAATGACTTGGGTGGCAGTACCCCTGAACCAGTGCCTTCCATCAGGAAATTTGGCAGAAACATAGCGTATGCAAAGAAATGTATGTTCGCAAAAAAAAATATTTGATGTAAAAAAAAAAAAGGTCCTCAATTTCCAATTTTGGGCAGCACCCAAATATGGTTGGCGCAGTCTAAAACAGTTTAGAATAGCCCCTAATATATAAATCTATTATATAAAACATTTAAGTGTGCATTTTTATAAGTTTAACCTCATTTGCAAGTTCTTCGCAAAGCATTACTTTTTCCTTGGCACTCATTTGGTAATTACCTGTTTTAAAAAGAAATATAATTTAAAAAAAAAATCCTAGAAATATCTCGGAAGGTAAAAGATAATACCTGCTACTTTATATATATATATATATATATATATATATATATATATATATATATATATATATAATATATATATATATATATATATATATATATATATATATATATATATATATATATATATATATATATATATATATATATATAAACTAATTTAAAACATCAGGTATTACGAATTCTTTCAATACTAAATAATCTATTTGAAATTATTGCAGGATTATAGGCACCAGCATTATCAGCATTTAATATAATATAATTACAATAATTAAAAATTTTGTAATTATATTATATATGCTGATGATGTCAGTGCCTACAATACAGCGAAAATTTCAAATAAATTATTTAAAATTGAGAGAATTCATATTATCTGATGTTTTAAATTAGTTTATATATATATATATATATATATATATATATATATATATATATATATATATATATATATATATATATATATATATATATATATATATATATATATTATATATATATATATATATATATATATATATATATATATATATATATATATATATATATATATGTATATATATATATATATATATATATATATGTATATATATATATATATATGTATATATATATATATATATATATATATACTTGTAAAAGATGTCAAATTTTAAATCATATACATATATATATGTATATATATATATATATATATATATATATATATATATATATATATATATATATATATATATAAATATATATATATATATATATATAAATATATATATATATATATATATATATGTATATATATATATATATATATATATATATATATATATATATATATATATATATATATATATATTAAACAATGACGGATCTAGGGATATACAATCCCCCCCCCCCCTCATTTCTGACACCAACAGAATCTGAAAGTCCTAAAATATCTTAGAAAGTGAGGACCTTTATATATATATATATATATATATATATATATATATATATATATATATATATATATATATATATATATATATATTATATATATATATATATATATATATATATATATATATATATATATATATATATATATATATATATATATATATATATATATATAAATATATATATATATATATATATATATATATATATATAAATATATATATATATATATATATATGTATATATATTTATATGTATATATATATATATATGTATATATATATATATATATATATATATATTATATATATATATATATATATATATATAATATTAATATATAATATTATTAATATATGTTATTATATAATATTATTATTATATAATATTATTATTATATAATATTATTATTATATAATATTATTAATAAATATTATTAATATATAATATTATTATTATATAATATAAATCGATTATAAGAAATATTTATATTCAATATAGAATGTAAGGAAAAAACGAAGTGAAGTTTGTTACTGCTATTAGGGTTTAATAAAAATAGTAAACTTAACTAAATTAATATAATTATCAAAACACAAGTACGATTGCTACTTTAAATTGGCATTATTGTTAATAATGGCAATATGAATTATGCTCGTATTAATTGTTAACTTTTCTGAAACATAGTAATATAATAGCATTTGTTGGATTATTCTTTAAAAAAATCAAACTATTTGAATTAAAAAAAAAAACACTTTTAGGGAAAGCAGATGTCAAAAATTTATTTCTTAAAACAATTATAAAAACTGATTGTAAAAAGTTACTATAAGTAAAATAACTTTACAGTGACTTACAAAAATATCAAATTTTAGCAAGCACAATTTTTATCAGTATTATTGCTCATGACCCTTTAATATTTTGTTAAGGTCAATTTTTTTTAAAAGTTTAATACAATCTTTTACTTATGCATAATAGAGTGCTATCTAGATACAACTACACAATAGTCCATGCAATTTAAAATTGAATACAATATTTAAGGGTCTTGATATGCTTTGCACTAAATTACTCAAATGCCACTAAAATGCATTAAATGAAATTAAAGAAACAACATAATTTTGTTTGGAGGCTGACCCTCTGTTGCGTTTTTTAAAACTATTAAAACAACATGAAGCTATAAACATTTTAATATTTGTAACTTTAGATTTACTTTTAATTTGTTATCAATTAAAAGTTTAATTTTGTAATTTAAGTTTTATTGGCACATGTTATGCGGATTTTTGTGGGTTCGAATGGTGAGAATTTAAAAGTGAATTTTACCGCCGTTAAAAAACCGCATCTTCAGAGAATACCCTCCGACACTGATATTTTCTATACTATACTAATATAGTATAGATACAGATAAAGGACATTTTTTGAATTACAAATTAACCAGTATAAAACATTATTTTGGTTAAATTGTCATTAAAAAATGACTTTGATCTGTTAATTTTGCTTATCTAACCAGCCAACTTAAATTTTCAGCTTGTATATATTAAAATTATGACAAGAATAATTATTGGGAGGGACAGCATTTTAAAAGCAACTACTTGAACATTTAATGTCGAAAACTCTAGATAGCTCTGTATCTAAACTAAAATGTTTCCGGTAAAAACGATCATTTTAAAATTACTATCATTTTATTGTATTCAAAAAAAAGTATTGACCTTTATATCTACTGCAAATTACAATTCTCATTAAACTTAGTCTTCATTTAAATAAATCAATCATCAAATAAATTACTTTTACGAATAAATATAATAAACTACTTATAAATTAAAAATAAATTACTTTTACAAATACAAATAATATATTTAAAAAATTACTCTTAAATTAAATGTTAAATAATTTATAAATAAATTACTTTTTTTTTTTTAAATTCTGATTCACAACAAGGCTGCAAGCAACCACTATTAAGTTGGGAGAAAAAAAAAATAGAGTTATAGAGCAAAGAAACGGTTGACAGAGTCAATGATGTTGTATGAGTCAGGAAAACATGAAGATGGGAGAGCGTTCCAAAGGGTTGAAAAAGCTTGACGGATAAAAGTTTTTGGAGCATGCAGGGACAGATACAGTATAATAATAAAGACTTTGATGAAAAGCGAGTCAAGCGAGAATAATTTTTGGTTGATAGAACTAGAGATGAAATCTCTTTTGAGCAGCGACAATGATAGTATTGGTAGAAAAGAAAAAGAGATGCAACTTTGCAACGATGGGAAAGAGGCTCAAGCCTAGTAGATAGACCGCGTCCAACTAAGTTTACAATGCATTTTTGGACTTTGTCTAGAAGAGAAAGAGCTTCATTAGAAGAACCACCCCAAATATGATAACAGTATTTCATACAGGGACGAAAAAAAGATTGTATAGGTAAAGAATGGAATGAGGAGAAAGAAAATGGCGAGCACGATAAATCGAAGCAACCTTCCCAGTCGGCACACGTTGTCCGGAGGTTGTCCGTAAGACATCTCCAGACGTCCGTATAACGTTTAATGGACATCCCCCAGACAACGCATGCCCACTGGGTTAGCAGATGCTAATCTAGAAATTGATTGTATATATGGTTTCCATGAAAGGTCAGTAGTAAATGATAAACCAAGAAGACATAAAAAAGAGAACTCAGTGAGAGGGTTGCAATTCATCAATATAGGAATGCCGACAGTACTGCAAAAGTTGTTTGCAGTAAATAGCTAAGCTTTTTTAGAATTAAAATTTACAAGCCACTGTGAGCCCCAATAAGTTATAGAAGTAAGATCACATTCAAAATCGGCTGCCTGTTCTAAGCGATCGAAAAGAGAAGACTGTTTGTCAAGACAGGAGTATAAAGTTAAGTCATAAGCAAAAAGAGCTACTTTAAATGTAAGGTTATCGGAAAGATTATTAATGGAGATAAAAAACAAAATAGGACTAAAGATAGAACCTTGAGATACCTCAGAAATATTGAAAATAAAGAAAAGTGTTAGCCTTCGAGGATGATTTTGATAAAGCGGTTAGAAAAAAACAATTTAATTATCTCAAAAACTTTCAGATACACCGTACAAAACAAGCTTATGGAGAAGACCAACATGACAAACTTTGTTGAAAGCCTTAGATATATCGAAAGCAATACCCCTAGCCTCTCTGCCTCCATCTAATGCACGATAAAAATTTTCAGAAACAGCAGTTAGCAAGTCAGCCGTAGAGCAAGTGGATCGAAAACCGTGTTAGTTGTCTGACAGCAAGTTGTTTGACTCAAGATAGGATCTGAGAAATTTTTTTATAAAAGACTCACCAACCTATTATACCTATAGATCTTGCTACTAACAGGAAGAAGATTTGACGATATTTAGGAACAGATGCTAATTTTCAGCAGGCAGGAAAACAAGACTCAGTCAAGCACTTACAGTATTGGACAAAACATTTGCAACCAACATCGAACAATGCTAAAAAGTTTTCCTAATTTTTTTATATCTTAAAAAAGAAACGAACTGTACTATCACAGCAAATAGTCCAGGAGTCTGTAGTCACAGCATGCTATGACATGAGCGATCAGCTGACAGGTGACAGCACACAGGCAGAATTTCGTTGACAAGTGTCATTTTGCAGCGGACAAAACAAGTGCAACTTTTTTGGTTTCATTTGCTTAAGTCTGGTCCGTGTCAACGTCACAGAAGTTTTTTAATAATTAAAGGAAGTATCCAGAGTTTTCCAGAAGTTTGCAGAAGCATGCCGAAACTTCCAGAAGTTTCGAAAAGAAGCATCTGGAAGCATCCAGAAGTATCCAGAAACATTCAGAAGCATCCAGACGCACCCAGAAGCTTCCAGAAGCATTGAAAAGAAGCATCTAGAATTTTCCAGAACAGGTTCACACAGGTTCATTTTACTATATAAGAGACATGTAAACCGATATGTAATTCAGTCAGTATATGAAAGTCAATCAGTCAGTATTATCAAGACAGTTTATCGAAGTGAGTTTTATCAAAGTGTTTTATCAAAGAACATCAATACAAGAAG